ACCCGCAGAGATCTCTTCAAAATAAGTCAAATGTATATCTGAGATTAGGCAGATTACGAACGCAAAACAAAGATTATCAATTACCGTATTTTTCGGATGATAAGGCGCACTGAAAATCCTTAAATTTTCTTAAAAATTGACAGTGCGCCTTATAATCCTTATGTATGATTACTTGTTGTGCTTACTGACCGATTTATGTGGTACAGTTTGCTCAAAAATCTGTCAAAATGTGTAAGCAAAGCAAGCCGCTCTGCTCAATGGATATTCAACGCATTAAGGGACTCTCTGTCACTACTTGATTGGCTAACAGGACCCCTGAGCAGTCTACAACACTGCCCGACTGCAATGTCTAAACTAGAAGTGCATTCATGTAAGGCAACCCGGGCCTGGAGTATGCGCTAGCAACAAGAAACCAATCAATACGCCAATGCACCTTCTGTGTGAACATAGACACGTTAATTTACAGTGCGCCATATAATAATAAATTATAACATATAATAAGTAAATTAAAGTAGAGTATGATTGAAAAATACTTATATAAGTGATTTTTGTTTTGCCACATTATTATATTGTATATGGGTATGGTACAAATAAGAGATTTGAAGTTTTCTAGGTATATATATGAAGTGCATGTTTGTTAAAGGTATGGATGTATATGTGTATATATAAGGTCTTTGTTTCAGTATTTATGATTAGTCACATATTCATGGTAGACTTTGGAGCTTTGGTTACTTTTTGGCGACTTCAGAAATCCTAAAATTCTAGCGACATGTAAAAGGTCAAATAATAGGAAGGAATGAGGGCCGGTACAAATAAGTTGAAGAGCTTCTACCTACTCCTTTTTGATCTCCAAAAAATAGGGAATTTTTTCTCTCTCTCTCTCTCTCTCTCTTATGCGGTGTGCCTTATCGCCCAGAAGAACAGTATTATGGTCAGACATTTTTCTTGCATCTCAGTATCTTTGATTGTGCCATAAACAGTTTATTAAAGTCCTTTAGTTGGACTTGAGCTTCATTTATAAAGCTCTGGTGAAATAAACAGTCTTTTCGGTTATAAATGTGCTTCAGGTGTAACTATAAAAAACTTTTTTTACTGTTTGGAGCGTGGTTAAAGTGAGAGATCATGTTGTTTACAAGTCATCTATTTGTAACGGAAGATGATGATGATAGACGTTAATGTATCTCTAATTATGGCGTGCTGTGTGGCACACTACCCGTAGGTGTGTATTTGTTTTTCTTCCTCCTCCACCTCCTCTCTCTCTCTCTCTCTCTCTCTCTCTCAGGTGCTCCTGGTCAGGTGTTGTGGGTGGCCCGGCCCACATATCAAAGGAAGGCTGGAGGAGGAGAAGCTCTCCGGTGCAGATGAAAGAGGCCTTTGTTTGAAGAAGTGTTCACGTTTCTGGTTCCTTCTTCTTCTGTTTGTTTCTTTGGGGGATTGAGGTCTCCAAGTTCAGCTTCTGCCTTTCTTTTATTTTCTCTGTTTATTTATCTTTTAATGGGGGCTGGTAGGGGGGTTTGGCTCCTTTGTGGCGCTGACTCAGACTTTTACATTTTTGGATTTTTCTTTTGCAGGACCCCCAGACTCTTTGAATCTATGGTAACATATTTTTTTAAGGTTTTAAGATGTTTCTGAGGCCGTTTGGCTCTTTTTTTAGTTTAGAGAAAATCTGACATGCAGAAAAAGGTGGAGGCTGGGATTTATTAGAAACCGGAACCCCCCCAAAAAATAAAATTTGTTAATAGCGATTATTTTAGTCATCTGTTTGCTAAAACTTCCTTGAATTTACCACGTCTAGCTCCAGTCCTTGTCTTAAATTAGTCAAAATTCAAAAGGAAAAAGACCTTTGGTGATTCAGACTATTCACACTCATCAAAAGAAATATTTCTCCAGATTAAAAAGAACATTTCTTCCCTGAACTTCATCCCATCTCTGAGTTAAAACAGAATCGAACAACAAAAAGACTCCTCGCTTCTTGTTTTGCTTTTGTTCCGTTTATCTGAATGAATACTTAAAACGTCTGTACGAATTTCTGAAATTGCAAAGCAGTTTTTGGATCTCAGCGCTGATCAACCATTAATAATTCTTCTTATTCTACTTTAAAGCATTAAGATACTCAGAATTAGTAAATCAATCGAGTGAGAAACAAATTTCATTTCCTTGAAATCATTCAGGACAAAAAAACTCTTCAAAAAAAACAGACAGAGGATCTTGTTGGATAAAAATGAGCAGCACTGTCCTCATGTAGACCCGTCAAAGTTCACCTGAGGAGACATTAGCTTTTATTAGACCTGGTACGTCCTGCAGACTCTCTGTTGGGTTGAGATTTGGGAAATTTAGGAACAAGTCATCACCTCAGCCTCTTAAGTGGTTTTTCAGGCCACTTTCTCGATGCTCATGTACCATTGTTGGAATTTTGGCGGTGGTTGGTCATAACCATTAATCAAACCCAAACTGGCCTCAGTATTCTGGGCATACTCTGTAGTCTCCTGTAGTTCACATACGTCGAACGATGTTGGGCAAAGGTTTGAAGCCTCAACAGAAGAAGATGAGAGGAAACAAACAGGAGAAAGCACAAAGCAAATCATGTTTTCATTTTGGGACAAACATCAGTTAGCCACTCACCAAAGCACAGGCAGACAGAGTTTCATCGCTGAATTTATCCTCACCTGGTGATGGAGTTTTTAATCCTAAAGGCTCTTTAATGCTCGCCATACGTATGGAAATGTACGCATCCGTTCCAAACGATGGTTCTGTCACTGCCTGCATACTTCCATGCGTCCTTTACGTTGGCATGGATGTTAACCATTACATCCACCAGGAGGCAGGCGGGAGTCAAACGTTTCTGACAACAACAAACAAAACGAAGACTGTGGAGGAGCAAGTGATGATGGATATTTTGCACAGGAGACAGAGACGGAGGCGGCGTTGGAGGAAGCAGTGGTCGCTCAGGCCACTAAATGCCTCGCGGATAAATAATTCTTTTCTCTAGTGGTACTGATGAAAGAAATTGACGACAATCCTTAAAAAGCCCCACTATTGTCTTTTTCGTTTCTCTCTAAAGATGCGTATCGGGTATTGACAGCAGCAACACTGCCCCCAAGGTTTCTGGTGAGACTGCTCCGTCTGGTCTGTATCTGTAAACTTTAAGGATACATGCTGAAATACAAACAAAAAGAGCACGAAGCATGGACGGCGAGCTCTGTTTGTATCTGGATCGGTGTGTAACGTTGAGCATAAATGAGCCTTTAGATGTCAGGTTCTGACCGCCAAAGACCAGGAATACTCCACAAGAGATGCAGTTTTCAGACGCCCCGACCCTTCAACTCCAAGGACAATATCCACTTACTACCAAACCAAGAAGATGATCCACAGTATGCAGTTTTACATGCAAACTGACCAAATCTGAGATGTATAATCTCGTATTCCACTTTTTGCAGTGTATCCCATACGTGCGTCCCTACTCCCTCCATCCGAGCACAATACTTTTTGATCATTTATCTGGTCCATATACAAACACTAGGAAATAACAAAATGTTTTATGCATCCAGTTGCCATGAGCGACATGGTTTTCTGCTGTACTCTTTACTGATAAATATTCCATTACAGAGATAAGGCTGCAGTATTGAAAGCTACAAAGAAATCTACGTATATGCAATTTATTTTGTTTTCCTTGAGTTTTTATACCTTTGAGCTGCTGCTGCTGCACTAACACTCAGTTTTAGTCAGAAACAATGCAACCTCACTGCACGGAAATAATTGCGTGCATTATCATCGGCGCTCTTGGAAAAAATAGAAGACGGGAGCGGAGAGCGGGTTGTATCACTTCAGTTTGCAGAGTTGTTTTCAGATCGTTGCAAACATTCATTTTCATCTTGATGCCAGAAAACTGATCTTGAAAGGGAAACAACAAGAGTGATAAGGCTTATCTGAGAGAGCAGGGCAATACCCAATACTCAAGCGGATGTTCTACTATCTGTACAAAGTATTATTCTTAGAAAAAGGGTGGTCTCTGATGTTCAGGCTCCAGGCTTTTGCACCTTGCAGTGTAATAGAATAACTGCCCATATCTTTGGACTGTAAAAAATGAGATTGGAACCGTGCAACTGTAATCCAAAGCGGAGGGAGGCTTTCAGTGTAATCAATCTCCAAAAAGGCTTTTAATGGAATCAATGGAGAGAAAGGGCATTGATTTCTGCACAGTATACTGCCATTTTTAGATATTCACTCTGTGAAAACTCTCCTCAGTGGACTGAAAACTTCCATCCCACGATATAGGTTAATTGCATATTGAGCAAAGCAGCCCATTTGTTAAGTGACACACTTGTTCTGGGTGACCATTAAGTTACACAAAGCTTTAGAGCAGCGCAGAGACGTTAACACTGAGCTATGATCTCAATCCCTAAAAATATGGCCTCGATTGTGCTTTTGTCTCATGAGTGGAAAATTCAGCTGGAGCTAAACTACTCCACCGGGATTGTCTATCAGAGAAGTCAAACTGCTTTTGGCATCGGTGGATTTTGACGAGATGAGGGTCAATATTTGGGAAACGTTCACTAATTCAGATGTGGATAAAAGGGCGTTATATTTTAATTGTATGGAACCTCTCACCATGTACTTATGGGGTTTGGATTTTACGGTTTCGGACTCTTATTTTCAAGAAAGATCTAGTCATTTTTGCATGTAGTGGTATTTTATGATGGTGAGCTTCCAGGTTAGGTTTGTCTATTTTACACTATGCTAGTTTGCGACTAATCCACTTCTTCCCTAAGGACACTCCTGGGATCGAACCTCCAAACTTCAGATGACTGACTCTAGCACAGGGCAATAAACTGAAAGTTTACCGATATCGAAATTTACGACTATATCTGACGTCATTTTGCCCATATCGGTATATTCGGTGTCAAAATAAATAAATAAATAAAAGTTGGTTTTGGATGTGTGAAGGTAGGCTATGGTCTCATGTGCCTTTAACCCCCAATTTCCACCGAATCCTGAACAGGCTGTATCCGCCATTCTGGATGAGCGTAGCTGATTGTAACCATTCAAGTTAATGTGTCAATTTCCACCGGCTTCTTTCCATTTCAGGCGGATCGTATGTCATACCCTGCAAATGGGCGGAGACGAACAAATGAACGAACAAGCATTTCATCCAGATGACACCATGGATGAGGAGATGCTGATTCTAGAAGTCTAGAAGTAGATTTCCTCCTCTGGAAGGACACAATCTACTGCTTATATGGTTAGCCTATGTGGCTAGAGACGATTTGTTATCATGTGATTGTACCTGAATCTGTGGATTCTTGTCATGAAATTCACCTCACAAACAGATCTGGTAGGAAATGGCGGAAGGCGAAAACCGCTGCGGTTCCGGATTGGAGCCATTCCAGATGCTGTGAAAATTGGGGGTTAGACGCTGTCCAACGTCGAAGATGTGACTCCACCCCATCCAGTCTGTAACAAAGAGGGAAAGACAGGTGAGGAGATGGAGGACGGTTCAAAAGTTTTTAGCGTTGTAGACAAAGTTAATGTGGGAGAGGGTAAGTAGCTTGTGGAGTAGTTATCATCCATTTATTGTTATCGAGGTGAACTGATCAATATATCCTGATATTGATTTGAGGTCATATCATCCAGCCTTACACTGAGCCACAGCCACCCCCTGATTCTCCATGTGGTAGACCCCTGACCTGTCCAGGATGTACCCTGCCTCTCACCCGATGACAGCAGAAATAGCCTTCATGACTTCCAGATGGTTTGAACTGGACTCTGTTTCATTAGGATGTCATTTTCTCTGGTTTGTAGCTGAACTGACCCTCATCCTGGACCTTTATTTGGTGAACCAGAGCAGGATTCAGTGTTCGTCTAGTCTGTGCTGCTCTTTTGTCTAAATGGACGTAAATCTATGCAGACAAACTCAAAAACAACACAGTGAATTATTTCCAAATAAGATGTTCAACAGTCAAATCCACCTGCTGTCTTTGCCGCCCAAACACTCTCCCCATCAAGTGTTTATGAAATATTTTCTGCAGTAAATAGAAAATTGCTCGGCCACATGAACACACGAACAGACACACACAATTGGAGGCCAGCCAAAGCTGAAAGACTCTCCTGCTGTTGGCATAGAAACAGTACATGGACAGTTAAGGTTAAAGGGTAATACCACTCAATCTCTGCTTTGAAAAATCATTCCAAAGCTCTTAAGACGGTTATGTGTGTGGAGAAGAGATCTTCCATCTACACAGACCACTTGTATCCAGAGGTTTGTGACCTGTGATTTCACTTACAGTCTTAAAGTTATACCATTTAAAGAAAAATTATGATTATATAATTACATCTCAGCAGTAATTTTTGATGTCACGTTTGTCATCTATAAATCCTGTTTTCTTCCCTTTAAAGAATAAATTCAGAATGTTACAAGAAGAAAGTTATGATAAAGACATGTTTTTGATTAAACGTGATACATACTAGTGCCAAAATGTCCTTATCATTTAAACAACTTTGTTCAGAAATATAAAGAGATTGTGCAAAAAATCAAGACTTGTGGTTTCTACCTTTGAAACACCATCATGTGGATAATTGTTGACTAAATTAATGAATATATAACTTTCTTCTCATATGAATATTATACTCATAACAATATACTTTCTTCTTTTTTACCCTTACATATGTCCCAAATTCTCGGTCATTAGCAAAGATCTCTCCTCTTAAATGAATCGTTTGTGATGCTTTTATTTTGAAGTTTTTCACTGTTTTTCTTTTAGGTTGTTTTTTTTCCCTTTATTGTGATTGGAATATTGGTTGTAAAACATCTAGACTAAAATGTGTGTCAGTAGCTCTTTGTAAATGGTTAATATTTGGTTTTTAAAGCACCTATAAACATTACTTAGATGGTTATTTTAAAGCTGCAACTGATGTTTGTAATACTTTGTAAATGATTAATAAGTGGTTTATACATCATCTATAAAAATTACTTAGATTATTGTAAAGTTAGGGTTAGAATTAGGGTTATTGTTTTTAGCATGATATTAATATTTGAGTGTTTTAAAAGGACAAACCTTGTCAAAACCGATTGCAATTGCCCCCATTAAAGGCGCAGTTCGTTGAGTGGAGAATTTAAACAGTTAATTATAATTAATTGTTAATTATTAGGTGTCATTCACAAATTATCTCATCTATGTACATTTTAGTTTTGGAGCCACTGGAAAACCTGAATTAATTTTTAACAGATTAGATTGGAGTCAGATAGTTTAAGAGATTTTAATGCAGATCATAGCAGTGTGAACACGGCTAAAGTCCAGATAGAAATTGTACAAATTTTGCAGGTAAATGGTCTTATGGCAGCAATGCCGTGGTTTGCACTCAGATGTAGCATCATCTTTGGGCTGCAGGTGTTCGGTCTGAGCGTTAGATGGTCTATTTTGGAGGTTAGCTGTTGGAGTTCAGCTCTCCCACATTTACAGTTTACTGTGATATGGAAAACAGAGCTTTCCTTCATGTCAGTGATGGTTGATTTTGTTTCAGAAGTAAGGCGTCTGCATCTTCTTCTGACTCAAACAAACTGTTTATATTTACAATCCGCTGGCTGTCATGTTTCATTGTTGTGTGCAAAGCCAAGAAGACGACGATCTCGAAGACCGAGACGTCAATCACAACATGATCTCTTCCACTGATGACAGGTGAGAGTAAAACAAGCCGGTCTCTAAACTTGGTTTGATGTTTTCAGAGGTTATTTTCAGGTTTTTGTTGGTGCATAATGAGATCCTCTGCCTTGATTGCTTCAGTGTTTCTATTTCAAGCCAAATTTCCAGGCTTGTTTGTGGGCTTTGGTGCCTGCAAATCATGTGACACGATGTGAGTAAACTGCAGACAGCAGGCTAATGTTTACCAACCCAGCCGGTCTGTGATCCCTTTATGCCAAAGGATAGCAAAGGGACGGGAGAGGCAAATTGACCAGAGGCAAATGATCTAACACTGCTGAGTCCATCTTTGTGTGGACAGAGTGCTCGCGGCTCTTTAGGAGCCAGTTCATGTTTCACTTGTGAGTGGAGAAGTGACCAAACCTGATACCTGAATTTCATTTGGCGAAAATGGGGGTGAATTCAAAGGGTAACAGCGAAAACCATCAGAAGCCGCAACTGCAAGCGCATGAGAGTGGAATAGACAACGTGTGTGTTGTTTTGTGACATGTTCACACCCACTGTCACGTCTCCCGTTTCACCTCGGGGTCCTGTCTTCTCTTCCTCTCCTCGCCCCGCCTTGCTTCCCCACCTCCCTTTGTTCTCTGGCACTTAACTGTGTAGGTGTTTGGCAGAGGCCGTGACAAGTTGAGCGTCAAACGGAGCTGACAGATTGTTGACGTCTTCACTCACAGCGCGCCCAGATTAAACGCTCGTGACGGGGACTGCTGTTTTATTTCTCGGGTGAGATGTGATGAATTATGAAGCGCTCCTAGTTGCATGTCAGCCCCCGTTGCCCCTCGCTCGTGACACGCGACGGTCATGTCAGCGCCTGTCCTTTGTAGCCTCTAACATATTCCCGCTCTGTGTCCACTGTCAAGAGGGGGAGCGTCCCGGGAGCCCAGATCCCCTGGAACAATAATTCTTATTCATACACACAGGACAATGTTTGCTCATATTAATGCAACCATAAAAAGGACTGCGCTTCAGACGCCGCATGCCTCTGGGTTGTTTGCTTTCTCCGTCTTGCATTTCTTCTCTCCTTTAGTTAAAAATTCCCTTGCAGCCTTGCATCCATATGTCAGGGTCTAAATTTTCAGAGTTTGTATACAAAGTGGATGCCGCTCCCTACAAGCTCACCAAACATATTCCCTACCTGCTGAGCACAGGCTTCTGCACGCTTTGATCAGTGGAAACCCCCCTCAAACATGCACACAAATATGCACAAACTCCCAACCGCACACCGACTCGACGGGCTCGGAAACACTCAGACAGCTTTTGTTTTGAAATTGGTACACCTTGAGCGACTCGCCTCACACCCAGGATGCTTTCTTTTAACGCAGCTGCACCTTTTTATCATGCATCATTAATGTCTTGGACATTGGAGCATGTTTGGTAGTAAAATTTCCTCTTTTATAATTAACTCTTCTCAAACTAAGTCTCACGCAGCTGCAGCAGCAGCAGCAGCAGCAGCAGCGATGTTAGAATAACCCCCCCATCCTGGACCAGATGATGAAACCTTGTTTTGCGCTTTTCTCCAAAGCGGGACCTCATGGGGCTTCTTGTACTTTTCTGCAAAATAAGCAGAGAAACTTTCATTAACTTTGTGCGTTTAATCCTCACTGTGTTTTTATTATTAGTTATTCTCTGTGATGAGACGAACACACTTGTGCCTTTTAGGTTTGAGAGTCTTTTTGGCTGGAATATGAAAGTACAGCTTCGAACTTCGCAAGTTAAAGTCTTTAGATTGTAACAGAGAGTACATTATTGTGTAAAATATGAGTTTAAATCCAATTTAAGTTTTACATCCAAGTTTTACATTTTATAAAAAATCCGGTCATAACAGTACAAACAGCAGCTATTGGGCTATTTCTGTTTGAGGTTTGCATATGTCAGTGCATATCGAATACAATGGCTGACCATCTAAGTGCTCATAATTGTCTAATTGTGGCTCCATTGACTTATCTATAGCAGCAGAGCAATTGTTAAGCAGTGGATCACGTTTTTACCGTTGAATAGAAACTTGTTTTTTTTAAGTGGTTTGTAGGAGATAGAGGTCAAGAGTAAGAAAACTAGATCCACGTTTTCTGACTTATTTGACGTCTGACTCAAACATCGATTGTTAATAAATGCAATCTAGACAAAACTCATCAGAAAGTCACCACAGCATCTTTAAGGGTGGACCAATTCATTGATTCTTATATTCTTATGTTATAATGTGTTATACATGTTAACAACAGTTGCATTGCATTATCTATGTGGGCATTGTCAGTGAGTTGTTGACATTTATAACACATTATAACACCTGACCTTGTAAGTCATGATAAAATGCTTTATAATGTCTTATCCTTATTGTTATAAAGCATTATGATCATTTATGAGTGTTTATAACTATAGTTACACAGGGCTATAACATGATTATAATGCATAATAAACATAGTTATAATGCGTTATAGAGATACGTGTCAAGTAAAGTGTTACAGATGTATCTTACTTCAAAGAAATTCTGTACGGGGAAAAAGCTGCATCCATAAGTGTTCTATTTAATTTAATAATCAAATTGTGAGGTTCCTAAGATGGCACACCGCTAGTTAATTTCCCAAACAAGTACTTCATGTAACTCCAGTTGAAATACACTGAACTAGGAACAAGTGTCTCTATACTGTCATATGAGCAAAAAGTGCAGTTTTGTTTCAGCCAAAACGGAGTAGAGTGAAAACTCCCATGAGACGGTCTAAAGGGTGACAGACTAATACGACGTATTACATGAATAAGGCCAGACTGCAGGACTGACAGACGCACTGTAAGATGCCATTTCTAAAATAATTACCCAGAAATTGTTCAAGGAGATGTGAAGAAACCATCAAATCGGGTCAAAAAACTTTACAGAAAGACCTTCCGTTCGCCAACAGCGACGGTATTCAGAAGGTTCGTAAACTAACTGGTCCATTTACAGCCTGTCTACTAAGAAACACTATTTGCAGCTTTCTACACTTCGACACAAAGGTTCAGAGTGCGTCTCACTCACCACAGGTAGCTGGACGCCTCGACTCCGTCTATTATTATTACATTATAATCTTCATAAAGGC